TGGCTTGAGTCTTAGAAGAGCTAGTTCCTCAGTGTTCTTAGTGTTCTACATTCATTTGTATGAGATGAGAGCTTAAGTCTTCAGCTATTCTTACATTAGGTATCATCTTCCCATATCGTGTATACTGAACCTTATTTTCACTCTCTTACCCAGCTGGCAAATGTTATTTACATTTCCAGGGAGGCACTAGCGAGCTCTGGTACCGGCTGACTGGTCTGAAACCCTCTGGGTATCACTTCTAGCTGTGGGATCGCAGGCAAATTACTTAACATCTCTGCATTTCAGTTTCTCCATCCATGAAATGTGGATAATAATAATATGTACCTCATTGGGTTGTTATGAGAATTAAATTTGATAATCTATGCAGAGCACTTAGATACTGAGCAAAACATAGTCAGTATTCAATGAATGTTAGCTAACACTAACTAGTATTACCCTACTGCACAGATAGCCCCATTAAATGAACCATAAGCATCATTGATGGCAGTACATACTCTTCAAAAGCATTCCTTATATAAGTTAAATTAATTTTTTTGAGTGTATGTCTTCTAGAGAGCTTGGGAATATATAAGAGGAGAGTATAGTTGGGTGGCAAAAAACAGAATTAAAGACTGTATTTCTTATAAATAAAACAGTGCTGAGTTAAAAAAAAAATAACTTTGAGTCTTCCTGACCTGGAAAAAGTAATTTGTATCAATCAGCTATTGTCACGATAATACCATGTGACAAATCACCCCATAATGCAGAGCCTTGGAATGAAAAGGTTTATTCTCATGCTCAAAGGCTTACAAGCAGACTGTGGTTCAGCAGATGTAGGCTGGGCTCAGCAAGACAGTTCTGTTTCAAGCTGTGAGTTGCCTGGGCTTGGCTCAAGGCTGTGACTTGGGTCAAGTCTGCTCCAGGTATCTCTCATCTTTTTTAAACCAGCAGCTGCAGAGACATCTTTGGTCTCTGCAAATGTCAGAAGCGCAAGCACCAAGTCCACTTATGCAACATGTTCAAGCTCTTTACTCCTATTGTGTTCACAACATTTCATTGGCCAAAGCACATCACTTGGTCAAGTCCAACATCAATGGAAGAACACTGGGATATATAAGCCATTACAGGGAACCGAAGAATTGGGACCAATAACCAAACCACTGTATTTGAATTGCCTGTGCTCTGTGCATGTCCAGAAGTCTTGGGCCTTTATAAGAAAAGCTAATAGTACACCAGCAGCCAATACATGGCAGGTGGTTTCCCAGGGAGCAAGGATGGATTTGCCTGATTTTCCTCCCCTTTCTCTCTCATTCCCATGCATAGCTCACAAAGGAATGAAAATTTCGGGATAGCCGAAATTTATAGCCATGACATTGAGGTTTTGGCCTTATATAAAACTCTTCCATGTAGATTTAAACATGGACTGAATCTTCACCATCGTCCAATCAATGGAGCATTTCTTCCACTTACAGAAAGTCACTTTACTTATTTTTTTTTCTGTTTTTATTTTTATTTTTATTTCTGTAAAACTCCAGAAATATCCTTGCGTATAGTATAAGCTCAATAAATATGGGTTTAAAAAAAAAAGATGGAGGGCAGGGTCCTAATATTAGAGAAACAAAAATGATTCAACCATTGGAATTCTCCCAGATCACTGTACTTTTTGCCATAGGAAGGTTGTATTATGTGACAGTCAGCATGAAAGATACGGAAATTTATTATCTGAAGTAAATATGGGCTCCTGTAGGTATATTAACTGAGAGAATTTAGCTTCTGTGTGACACTTTTTAAGCTCACAAAATAACCAGTCACTTCCCTGTATTTCTTCACATTTATTGTAAGCCTTTTAAATCCCTTCTAAAAACCACACGTTTACATTCCCCACTCCACTTAACTTTTTATTGTTTCTGTGGGATAGCTAGACAAAAAAGGCTGATAAAAAGAAAGATTGTCCTTATCAAATACTTACAGGTAACTATGTAATGGGATTTTTTTCTTTCCCACCAGAGGAAGCCCACTATTTCACCAAGAACACACCCATTTGCGGGGGGAAGGGATGGCTCAGTGGTAGAGTGTCTGTCTAGCATGCAGAAGTTCCTGGGTTCAATCCACTGTACCTCCACTTAAAAAATAAATAAATAAATAAACCTAATTACCTTCTTCCCTAAGAAATTAAAAAAGAGGAACTCACCCATTTGAGGCGTTTTAAACAGATGAATAAGTTATTAAGCCAGCCAAACTATCCTTCTAAAAGAGTGAAATGAATGCTAATCTAATTGCTGGAGAATGCATAAGCTGGGCTTTCAAAGCAAGACTTCTACACTGGTTCCCCCTGCTGGATTCGAGGATGCACTGTCTGGAAATTGATGAAGGCAATATACCTGAACCTTTTCATTTGAGGGCCTGTTACTCAAATGGCAAATCCAGCATTCTTTTAGGATGCATTTACTCCGTGATAAACATGCCAAGCGTTTCTTGAATGTGCTTTCCAAGGGCAGAAATACTGCAAGGAGAACACAGCACAGACAAGATTCAAAGTGGAAGAGAGACCGTGCCACTTGAGTGTTAGGGACCAGGATGGCAGGCACGTGGGTTAAGGGCAAAAACTCAGCGGCAATAGGTCAGGTAAAGAGCCTGACTGGTGGTTATTATTGTAAAGCTGCATTTGGTCTGATCATGAATTTCCTTTTCATGTATTTAGAACGGCTGGAACCAATTCCTCCCCTTCCTGGGACTTCATTGTTCTTTCTCTTTCCCTTCTTACCTTCCCCTCTTCACAAGAAAGCTTTTTACCCCGACTCTGTAGGAGATATGGTAACTAGACTAATTTTAAAAGCAGCCTGTCACTGCAGACTTCAAGCCTACTGTGAAATTTGTGTTAAAAGGTTTGTCTATGGGAGGGACAGGAAAGCCGGCAGATTTCTCCTGCTTGGGTCTGAATGCATTTGGTAGGAGGAAGAGGGAAGTACTGACTTATGTTTTTGACACGTGCTCCTGCACCAACTTGGCTTGTTAAGGGAGCAGTAGCTGTAATGATGGCCATTTGCTGCTGACGGCCAAAGCCGGTACCTTCACATCCTCTGAGAGCCTGAACAGAGAAAGTGTCAAACTGTCACGCGGTCCTTCCTTGTCAATACGCCACTGAGAACTTTGGATTTAGGGAGCTGCCGAGCCACTCCAGGTTGTTATATTAAAAGTTATTCTGTGTCCCCCATGACACATGGCACAGAGGTGGGCAAAGGGAACTGGATACACATACTTACATGTTGGCTCGTTATAGCATCCCTCCCAGTCCGGGTACCACTGTTGCTGACTGATGACTGATTGATTTTTGCCTTTCTGTTATAAGTTTTTCTTTCATTCAGGTCAATTCTAAATGTTTCCCCATCTGCACCTCCCTTCAGTAGGTCGTTTTCAGAGCTTCGTGGTAGAAGATGTTCCCATTTTCCCCATTGCTTCTGAGGTCTCTGTTTCAGCCGCACTGGCTGCGTCCTCCTATGGGGAGGTTTCCCCAGCCTCTCACCTCTGGAGTAAGAGCTGGTAGTGGTAGCAGACGGCGGGTCAGAGCACTCAAGCACAACAAGGTTAAGTGGTCTGAGCTGGGCTGAGAGTCAGGACTTTGCAAAGGGCTCAGCCGGGGTGGGAAGGATATAGCTCAAGTGGTAGAGTGCATGCTCAGCACCCAGGAGGTCCTGGGTTCAATCCCCCGTACCTCCTCCAAGTGGAAATCAATGAAGAAACTAATCACCTCCCCCTCAGAAGATAAGCAACACAAGCAAAGGGCCCAGCCGGGTGGCTCTTCTGCTCCTTGTGGCCTTGGCTGAGGTCATCAGTTGGCTGGGGCTGGGCTGGCAGCGGGGCTGGGTTGGAAGGTGCCAGAAGGCTTCAGCCGTATGCCTGGTCCTCTGTGCTTCTTCCTCCATGGGCCTTTCTCCGTTTGGGAGGCTAGTCTGAGTGTCTCTCTAGCATGGTGGCCGGCTTCCCAGAGGGAAAAAAAGTGGAAGCTGCCGGTCTTCTGAGGCCTTGGCTTGGAAGGCCCAGAACATCACTTCCACAGTTGACTGGTCTAAACAAGTCACAGAACCAGGCTGAGTTTAAGGAACAGGGAAATAGATTCTCCTTCTTGAGAAATAAAGGCTCTCTGGCCATCTTTAACCCGGTAACTTCTGCTTCTCTGTTTTCTGTACTTTACTGCGTGTTTTATATTTTGTTCCTGTGTCTTTATATAAATGTATCATTTAAAAATTTTTTTTTCCAAACAAAAAGAGATTTGGAAACCTTGCCAGCAATGAGTTATAAAAGTATGCCTTTATTTGCCTTTGAAACGTTTATTTTTTTCCTACATATAAATCTTCAGATGTATATTATACATTTAAAGCCAAAGGAAAATTTTAGCTAGTTTCTAGTATATAGCCACCATTGCACCTGCCCTGTTATGTATTTTTCAAGGAGTTATGGACTGTGGCTTAAGCTTGACCAGCATCATCTGTTTAAGGCAAACTATCTCCTAGCATAGGTATGCTAGACTGTCCTGTATATGATGTAAGCAAATGTGTAAAAAAATAAGTAAAAATTGTAAAAAGAAAATTAAATAAAAATAGATTTTTTTTGCAACCTATGTCACACAGGAAGACAAAGGGCTGAGGAAGGTAATCAACCAAGCTTCCTTACACTGTGCATCTTGCTTGAGTCGAGGGAAAGGAGATTGGGGGTAAAATCTGTATTGTGTCTTGGGAAGTGCTGTGTAAGAGAGAGCTGTTCCCAGAACTGCTGAGTGAATTTTGTTTACTGCAGTTCAACATCCCACCAGGCAAATCATGTGAGAAGGGGCGAGGATAAACGCACGTATTTACGTAGGTGATTTGTCTGTTTCATGCCTCTGATTCTTCTCTCAGCCTTGCTTTGTGGGGAGTCATGATACATTGGTTGCAATTAATTTCAGTGCTGCATATTAGCCATAAAGAGATATTTCACACATTGACTTGATGTATTTTTTTTTCCCTCTGTGGTTTTCTTGAAAGATGAGAACGGTCCAGAGGAAAAGCAAGGCGTGGACAAGATGGAAGGGCAGAGCCAAGAAGCAGGTGGGCTCAGATTTCTTTTGAGGGGTCTCCTAGGCCTCATCCACAGAGGTGAACAGTGGCTTTACTTGGTGCTCTGTTCTGAAAAATGTGTGTGCCTTTTCACCAGGTTAAGGTCCATGTTCATTCAGGTCTCCCTCAGGAAGGCACCGACTCCGTTCATGATGAGTGTCAGGGCCTCAGTCAGTGGGTACCCTCTCTTGTCTAATCACCAGGTCCACTTTCTCCCCTGTGATGGCAGTTTGCTTAGCGATGCCCTATGCTGGAGGGGCAGAGCTTGGAAGTACCAAGTCAGAGGTGGCTGGCTGAGGGCAGGTTAAATCCAGCAGATTTAGTCTGGGAGGAAAAGTGAAATAAAAAAAACATGTAAAGGAAATATATCAGAGGCTTTCCTTCCACTACGAATGGAGTGTCCTGTACTGTTTTGCTTTAAATTTTGAAGATCTGTGCTCCTGGTCATTTCTGTGTATGTTGTAGATGATAGTGAATGTGACCAGGCCTGACTGCCTCACACATGGAGCTCAGTGAGACCCGAAGCTTTCCTGACGTCACCTCTGCCCGCTGGGGGGAAACATGGGGGACAACGGAACACTTAGAGATCCTCTACTGTGGATTATAAATGGAACATTTTTTATAAAATAGCACTTAAGGAAAGAGATTGTCATCGCCTTAGATTTATCTCTTCTTCCCCCTCCTTTTTGTAGTCAGGCACACTCTCCTTTAAAAAAAATGATTCTCACAGTTTTGCAGTTATCAAGACAACCAACAAAATAAAAATATCCCTCTTCCATGTATTTTACAAGCCATTCTCCCAGTTCTAATGAGCCCCCTGGATGGGGCATTTTTAAAAATTGTGGGTTCTGCTAACGTACCAGGCACGTCTTAGGCTGTATGCTGAACTGTTGGAAATAAACCAGGTAGTGTGATAGGTTTTTCGCTGAAAACTTCCTACATTAACCTTAGAGCTTTTGCTGGAGAACTGAATGCTTTTATTATTAACCTGGAAGATGGAATTGAAGAAGGCCAATCAAAGAAGGCATTGAAGCAAGGCAGCGAAGACCTTGTGTACCTGCCACTGGTCAGCTGATCCCCTTTGCTGAAATGTAGTCCTGGCAATGAAATGAATTTCTGACGCAGCAAACTGTTGTTTCCGATACCTTGCCCCCACCCCAGCTCCCAACCACCACATCATTCTACCCCCGGAAGATGAGACTTATGTGAAAAGTTGTCACTGTTTTTCACTGTTTGGGGCTGATAAATATTAGTCAACTAACTGCTGACAGCTGAGGCCATTCTCCGAATATTGTGGTTTCACAGATTTTACTCACTCATTGCTCTGTCCCAAGCTGTCTTTGTCGACCTTTATTTCTCCCACCCTTGTTTATACACACACACACAGAGGTATGCACATACATACACGCACACACATCTGCCTGTGTTTTGTTTATTCATATCTTTTCCTTTAATCAGCTGAGTGCAGGCAGTTTCTTTTTGGATTTGGGATCACCCTGCCTGCCAAGAGAGGGTGGTAGACTGCAAGCCCTCTTCTCCACCTCTTGGCCGGACAGCATCACCGCCACAATAGGGCAGCCTCTCAGTGCAAAGAAGATTCCTAAATGCACCCCTGACGGGCTCCTCTTGCCCCTCCAAGTGGGCCTGCTGGCACACAGTCCAATGGCAGGATTCATCTCTAATCTTGGCCGGTGTCAACATACAGTGTGTGTCCATTCTGTCTCCCTGATCCAAGTACGGAGAAATCCAAGATGCAGTTCTGGTCATTAGCGTCCTTTTGACCTGCTGTTATTCTCCCCCTCCCCCCCAAAAAAGAAACTTTTTCTTTTTCATTTAGTAGAATCCCAGCTTCAACTTCAATTACACAACTCTGCAGGCCTTTCTCCTATGTCATGAAAAAACACAGTCTCAAACCAGCATAATCCAACTGTTCTGACTGCTGTCAGGATCAGATTAGTTCAAAGTTGTAGATCATATTCCTCAAACTGCAATTTGACAAACACGTACCAGGGGCTTGCTCTGACCCAGCCACTTTTCCAGGCACAGAAGTAGAACAGCAAAAAATAAAGGCAGTAGCCTTTCTTCCTTGAAGCTTCTGTCCTGGGGGAGGTGATCTAAAAGTAAACAGTAAAAAACTGTAAGACAGTGATGAATGCCTTGTGGGAAGATGAGACAAAGTCGAAGGTGTATTGAGAAGGCCCCAGGCCATTGGGGAGGACCTCCTGAGGGAGCAGTAATTAAAGTGAAATCTCAGTGATGAAATGGCTGAGGAGCATTCCAGATGCAAGGACCAGATAATGCAGATACCTCAAGGCCAATTTTAGCTGGTCAGGTCAGGTCATTGGAGAAAGAAGTTCAGATCAGCTGGAGCCTGGTGGATTAGGGAGAACATGGTGCCAGGTTTGGGAAGAGACCATAGTACCAAGTTATGTCCGACTGTGTAAGATTTGATTTTATTAGAACTACAAAGAGAAGACAGTGGACAGCTTTAAGTAGTGGAGGGGCACAATCTGTTTTAACAAGCTCACCTTGTCTGCAAATGAAAATGGGTCCAAAGAGACAAAGTGAGACCAGTCAGAAGACTATAGCAGGAAAGCAATGACGGCGGTTTCTGGAAATAGAGATAAAATAGATTGTTGTGTTTTGTCCCAGAGGCAGAGATAACAGGATCTACTGATGGACTGGATAGGGGCTACGGGGGAAAGAGAAAGCCAGGCTAAATCCTAGGTTTTTAGCATCAGTAACTACACAGATGATGGTGCCACTTACGGATATGTGAACGACTGGCTACAAAGCCCAGTTTTTACTGAGAGTTAGTGGTTCAGTTTTGGCCATGGTAAATTTGAGAGGACTCTTAGCCTGTGGGATGTCAAGAAGCCAGTTAGATCCATAAGTCTGGATTTCTAGGGAGGGGTGAGGATCAGAGATGGCAGGTTTGGGACTCACTGGCGTATAAATACTACTTAAAACCCTGTGACCAGCCGAGATTCACCAGAGAGAGCATGTAAATCAAAAGAACAATGAGGCTGGGACACCATGGCATCTGGACACCATGGCAAGAGGGGAGAAGAAGCAGTCACAGCAAGAAAGTGTTTCAGAAAGAACAGGGTCAACTCTGCGAAACGCCACTGGGAAGCCAAGTAAGATAAGAAAAGAGAAATCACCACTGGATGTGGCCAAGTGAGGTCAATGGCACCTCTGACAAAAGAATTCTTCCAGGAGGATCCAAGCCAGTTGGAGCTGTGAGATGAGGTGGTCAAGAACAGAAGCATAGACTGCTCTTTTAGGGAGTTTTGCTGTGACGGGAAGCAGAGAAATGCAAAGCCGTGACATCCAGGCAAGGTTGACAGTTCACAGTTTGCTCATTTTTTTAAATAGGGGTTTGTCACCTATTAACAGCAAGTGATTCACCTCCAAGAATCCCCCACTAAAAATGTATTCTCTGTTCTGATAGAGACATGACCTGAAAGTAACAGTCATATGCATTATGAACAGAGGATGTGCAAGGAAATCGGATTTGCCTTTAATGTGTGTTAGTTGTCATCTTCGGTTCCATAACCTTGTTATTGCATGAAAAACTATATATATTTCTTTTCCATTTGTCAAGTATTAGCCATTTCTAATGATTTTGATAATCCTTCCAGTCTGAAATTTACTATTTTAATGTTGGTAAGTGAGTCATTATCCTGGAAGCCAAATGTGAGTGCAGTCCGTGTGGTACTGATAATGCTGAGAAGGAAGACCCACTCTGATGAGATTATTGCTTCTGGGGTGGGACAGGGAGGGACCTTGAGTTCCTTAGTCCCCACCTGGTGCTTGGCTGACATGAAATCACCAGATGAGTTTTGGTGCTTTCCTACAAATGGTCGCCTTCTCTGCACTGACAGCCATCGGATGCGCTCCCTGGAGTCTGACAACCAGGCTTAATGGGACAGAAGTGCTGTGCTGGGAAAAACCAAGCTTTAAACACAGACACATGAAAGCATTTTGTAGAAACTTGCAAGGATATGCTTTCTTTCACAATCTTTTACTAAGAAAAATAATGTGCCAGCCTTCTAAAGGTGGAAATGAAGCAAAATACCAAAATCTAGTAGTACCAGTGACCAGGATTCTTCACCAGAAAATAGTCTGTGGTTCACTGGGCTCTTTCTTAACTGAAGGTTTTGTTCCATTACTCACAGAGAAGAGGCACAGACCCTAACGCCTTCAAAGCCCATTCAGTGCATTAGAGCAGGAGACAGGCTCACACTCCTCCAGTGGAGCAGGAGGCGTGATGGGCAGGGAAGCTCCACCCGGCAGTATTGACTCTGAGGCGGTGTTTCTCCTTCTGCTTTGTAGACGATGCCAGCACTGCTCCTGTGCCCAGCCCTTCTTCAGTAGAGGCAGCTGAAGTCTGCAAAGATGAAGGTATGAGGCCACTTACTACATCTAAAAATCACAAGCTGTTAGAGAACCATTTGGGTTATGCTTGTACTGGTCAATGAAGCAGTGAGCAAATCTATCTAACTCTCTTCAAGCATCTCTATTTCCAACACAAATATCCAACCCACTCTGTTTCATTCCATACCTGCCCTTTCTACAGTGTATACGTCCATTTATATCTGCCCCTCCGAAAAGTGACTGTTCGTAAAACAATAGAATGCCTGGAGGAATGATGTTTAAAGAAGATGTTTATCTGAAACACTGGACTTAGGCTGTTTACATCTACTCCTCATGAAGGAGTTCATTTGAGAACCACCTACCAGAAAGCTGCATTATGTAGACATAATAAGAAAGAAGAAATGCTTGAAAGGCATCTTTGAAAATAAATCTTTGGCAAGAGCATCATTCCTCATTTTATGGACAGTTCCTGTGGAAAATGTGTCTTCAGAAGATACTTCTGAAAATTTGATGGAGAAACAGTGGGAACATTTATGGGCAGATAACAGAATTTTTAAAATATGTATTATCTAAAGGGAAATAAAAGAGTCATTTCTTTTTTTTCATTTTTTTAAATTTTTATTTTTTTTAGTTGAAGTATAGTCAGCTTACAATGTTGTGTCCATTTCTGGTGTACAGCATAATGTTACAGTCGTACATACACATACGTATATTCTTTTTCATATTAAAACAGCCATTTCTTTCCTTTCCCTCCTAATTGACTATCCCCCCACGCACAAAAAAAAACAGTATTATTTTATCAGTCACTGATTACTCCTAAAAACCCTTCTGTGAATGGTAGACTCTATTACTATATTTGTACAAATTGGCATCTGGTAAACCATGTGATCTACTTGGAGCTTTTAGATAAATATGCTGAAGGCATTGGTTCAGTCTGGAGTGATATGCAACTATATCTGTACTTGACATTGATACTGGCTACTCCTAGAAAACACTGGCTACTCCAGTGTTTAGAAAATCAAAACGGTCTTAAAAATAATACTTAGCTGCGTGCATCATTCCTTCCATGTCATGTTGCCTGGGAAATGGCTTTTCTAAAAAGGGGTCCAGGGGCCGAGGGGAGGGGCGGGGCTTGGTCCTTGCTAAGACTGTGAGCTCCTGGGGCCAGATGGTGGAGGCTTAAACCCTGTCTCTGCCCCTGGAAATCTATGTAACCATTGACAAGTAACCCAAGTCCTTAACAAGGAATTAACAAGTAATGGCAAGTAATTAACTTCTTTGCGTTTCAGTTTCTCCTCTAGAATGGGGACAATAACCGTGTTGACTTCACAGAATACAATAATACATGTCAGTTGCTCAAACTGTGCACCTGGCACATGTGCAGACTGGGCTCCCATAGAGATGAGGGAGCTCGCATTACTAGGCAGAGCTCGTGGAATCAATACCTGTGAAAGGAAAGAGAGAAAAGCAGAACTGGGTAAAGGAAGAAAGAGAACTGCAAGGCATTCTCAACAGAAGCCACAGCTAGTCGGAGGATGGCATGACCACTCTAAGATGTCCAACTGGGATGAGAGTCAGGCTGTTAAAACCTTTCATTGATAAGTCACCTGTCATGTGACCTCGGATGAAGCAACCCTCTCCTGTCAGGTAATCCTGGTAGCTTGACGTGGATGAGGTTGCCTGCACCTGGGAGAGAGATAAGTTCTTCATTCCTGAAGGGGAAGCCGGGCGGCCCAACACAGCAGCCACCATACTATTGTTTGCATGGCCTTTTTCTTGTTCGTTATCACTTTCTAATTGAATCCCTTAGCACCTCCTTTCGTACTACTCAGCTCTGTGTTCTGACATCCCTGGTTTTAAAACCATTTGGAATATCTAAAAATGTAAATAAACCATGTTAGATCACATAGGTGCTGATAATAAACTCTAGGTCATCTTAGAGAGAGAAATAAACCTGACCAGGTCAGAATGTGGTGTTCAACCTAAGCAGATAATTTTTAGACATCCCAACCATTTAGCTTGTGAAAAAAAATTTAAGTGTCATAAAGTGGAACGGCAGAGTTTAGGAAACAAGAGAAATAATCTAATTTAAGTGCTTCAAGCTGAGATTTTTCCTGTGGAGTTGTTTGGTTTAGAAATATCACACCTTTATAGAAGCACACTGTTTGTGATGTTTCTTGATGCTTTTAGGATCTCACACCATTAATTGCTCATGTCAGGATCAATTTCTCAGAACCCTTTTAGTTTTTTTTTTTTGCATAAAATTTGTAATGGTGGTAACTCCAACAAGATCTGTCACATATCACAAATGCAATTCCCTAATAAGACTAAATATGAAGTTTTAAGAATTTTTACTGAAATAAATTGTTAATATCCATTAACCTCTGGATCTTACGAAAAGAATTTTGAAGTCCACATTAATAGGCGATCCAGTGTCCATTAAAAATAGAATATACAGATAATGATTTTTGCCTTTTCCTTCTGAAACAGCATGCCTACAGAAGACCACTGTTTTTAACTGATTATCAGTTCAAAACTTAGACCAAATGTCTCCTGCTTACAGAGCTGCCATCTTGACTGATAGACACATAGCTTAGAATGAAAAAGAAATGAATTTTCCATTGAAATCCTCCAAGATTGAGGTCATGATGAGGTTAAAAGGCATTCATATGTGTTGAGGATTCATTTCAAGCTTCCACCATTATTAGTTTCATGTGGAAATATATCTCCTTGGTGACATCTGGGCTATTTATGAGTTCTGCAGCTCTAAGACTGCTTATAAAAACGTTCATTACACTCTCCAGTTTAAGTGGCGGAACATTTTTGCTGACCAGAACTCCTCCAGGAGCCCTTACTCACTTGTCTTTGTTTCTAAGCTTTGATCCTGACCCAGGATCATTTTCCGAAAAAAGGAAAAGACCCCAGTCCTTGTCTTAACCGAAAGACGAGATTACAGATGGGAGACTGAGTGCATTGTGCAGGGAAAGATTTTCAAGAATTCCTTTAGGAAAAGAAAAGTACGCCTCCAAGAGCGGGAGGCAGGCTGACCTAAGGGAGGAAAAGCAATGGTCTTCGTTTTGCCCTTTCTCTCATACCCTCGCTTAAAGGTGCTCTTTTGATTGATTGATGGCTCTTGCCCCTGGAATGCCTAGTCATGTTTGTCTCCTTTGCATGTCCTTACCCACGGTGTACACAGAAAAACCCATGGGGGGGCCTAAACCGCAATGTTAAGTATGTTACAATGAGCACTGGGTCACGTTCAGTTAAGGTTTTTTTGCTACCGTGCAGTTGCGACTGTCAGGTTCTAACCAGTATCTTGCTGGCACTCATTTAGAAGTAAAGTCCCTTTATGCTGGAGGCAGGCATAATGTCATCTTCAGGACCATCCTCCCTCTCCTCTACCTGTCTGTCCAGTGCCCCCACTTATCTAACTACCTAACATTATCACCAATATTATGGCCTTTAAAAAAAATTATTCTTTCCAATATACTTCCCAAAGGTTTTGAGACTCTCCAGTTATTTTCTGCTTTTGCTCATTGGTTGGCTGGTTTCATATTTGTTATAATTTTAGTTTCCACCAGAAACTAGTTTCCTCTAGAGTGCAAGGACTGAAAACAAGCAAACAAACAAACAAAAAATAAGCTGGCTTTTTTGTCACTTGTCTAAAGTCAGCTGGTTTGGGAGAAAAGATTTTTTAAAAATTAAAGCACATATGTGAAAGTTGAAGAATTTCAAGAGGAAATGTCTTTGGGGGTATCTTCTATGCCAGTGATTTTGTTCAAATGTTCTAGACATATTTCCCCCTGGGTACCGAGAATGGATGCTTATTACCCATTTCCCCCACGTAACTGCGAACAGTGCAAGCTGCTAACAGAAGGAGGTACCACTGATCGGCTTACGGATCGTGAGCTAGACTGTGAGCTGCAGACTGAGGACACCTGTTCCCAATGACTCATCACAGCCCTCAGGGTGGGCAGGAGTTGAGTTGGGAGGATGAGATGTGAGGAGGAGGAACACTTATGAATAATTCATCTACACAGGGGGTGCCTGCCAGGGATGTGGCAGCCAGGACTGAATTGAAATGAATTCCAACGTAAAGCTGGCCTGAGCAAATATCTGTAGGTTGACAGGAGCTCTGAGGTCATTTATAAAATAGGTGTGCACTGTCTCGTGAGAGATTTCTGTCTCTCCTGGTACAAATATTCCAATCATTGATTTAATGGTTTACACGTTAAACCCTTAAAAACAAACTCAGGAGTACAAATGTTCAAGCTATTTAAGTTAGCAAATAGGCACTCAGATGAAGGGGAGTGGAAACACTGGAGTAAAATTTGCATTAGGAATATCAAGTACTCTGGTCGAAACTGCTGCAAAGTTATTATCATCATTATTACTCAAGATGTAGTCAATCTGCTAAATTCAAGGAGAAGTCTCTCTTCTATTGTCTTAACACTCTTCATAGCTCATCCTCACTCACGGCCAAGACCATGCATCTCACTGGGGAAAACAGTGCTGTTTAAACATATCCTGATTCTCCTGTCTTATTATTTAATCAGTACCTACTTTGAATTTGAAAGTCAACTAGACCAAATCATATGTTCATTAATATTCAAAACAAAATCAGCTCACACTCAGGTGCATGCGCACTCGAGCCCCTGTTCCTTTGGAGCTCTGCGTAAGTCACGTCAATGCCATCTGGTATTCCTGAAGTGGGATGTCACTTGGCAAAGGATATCTTAACCCTTAATCTAGTTTCAGACCTCCTAGAGATCGAAATTTCTGTAGGTTATTGGGAAAGCTAGAGCAAGAGTCAGGCTTGCCAAAGAGAACAGGATGGGGTTACGTATGAGGAAGCGGATTCAGGAGTGTGCGAGAAATGAGCGTCAGTGTTCCCAGCCCCCCGTCACTGTAAGCTTGGGCGGGAGGTGTTGGCTCCAAATGATTCTGAACATCGTTTCCATTCCTTGCCTGAGCTGCTGGAGAGAAATGAAGTATCGGGCCACTGGTGGAATCCCTCTCAGGCTTCT